TCCTCTCCACCTATCTTCTCCTCTATCCATCTTCTATCCGCCTCCCCCTCTCTCCCTATTTATTTCAGAATCCCCTTCCCCTCCCCCATTTCTGATGAAGGGTCTAGGCCCGAAACGTCAGCCTTTCTGCTCCTATGATGCTGCTTGGCCTGCTGTGTTCATCCAGCTCTACATCTTGTTGTCTTGGATTCTCCAGCATCTGCAGTTCCTACTATCTCTATTGCTGAAAAAGTTCAGCAGGTGAAGGAAAAAACAGAGTTAATGTTTTGGGTCTGGTAACCCTTCCTTAGAACGTGTGTAGGAGAAGTCATAGAATCCCTACAGTGTGGAAACAGGCCCTTAGGCCCAACAAGTCCACACTGACCCTCGGAGCATCCCACCCAGACCCCGTCCCCACTACACCACTCATCCCTGAACACTACAGGCAATCCACCCTAACCTGCACATCCCTGGACACTGCAGGGACATTTAGCATAGCCAATCCAGCCAAACCTGCACATCTTTGGACCTTGGGAGGAAACCCACACAGACACGGGGACAATGTGCAAACTGCACACAGACAGTCACCCAAGGGTGGGATTGAACCCAAGTCCCTGGTGCTGTGAGGCAGTGGTGCTAACCACTGAGCCACCGTGCCACCAAATGTCTGAAAGATTTTGCAGGGCTGTGGGAAACTACCAGGGTGGATTCAAAAAAAACAAGCGAAAGCTGATGCTGTGAATCAGAAATCGAAAACAAAATCCCCAGAAATTGCTGCAAAAGCTCAGCACATCTGGCAGCATCTGTGGAGGGAATGATTAATTTTTTTTTTTAATTTCTTCATGGGATGAGGGCATCACTGACTGGGCCAGCAGTTATTCCCCATTCCTAATTGCAGTAGAGAAGGTGGGAGTGAACTGCTGTTTTGAATCGCTGCAGTCCTTGGGGTGTAGGGATCCTCGCAATGCTGTTAAGGAGGGAGTTCCAGGACTTTTGACTCGCAACACTTAAGGAACAGGCAACATATTTCCAAGTTAGGATGGTGACTGGCTTGCAGGAGAAGTGCACCTGTCCATCTGCAGCTCTTGTCTTTCTGGGTAGAAGTGGTCGTGAGTTTGGAAGATGCTGTTGGATGAGCCTTAGTAAGCTACTACTGTACATCTTGTTGTGCTGCCACGGTGCTTTGGTGGTGAAAATAGGGAATGTTGAAGGTGGTGGATGGGGTACCAGTCAAGTGGACTGGCTTGTCCTGGATGGTGTTGAGTTTCTTCGGTGATGTTGGAGCTCCACTCATCCAGGCAGTTGGGGAGTATTCCATCACACTCCTGACTTGTCCCTTGTGGAATGGATTTGGGGAGACAGGAGGGGAGTTACTTGCTTCAGAATTTCCAGGTTCTGTCCTGTTTTTGTAGTCAAAGTGTTTGTGTAGATGGCCCAGTTAAGTTACTGATCGGTGGTAACGCTCCACCCCAGGATGTAAATAGTGCCATTAAATGTCAAGGGGTGATGGTTAAATTCTCTCTTGCTGAAGATGGTCATTGTCTGGCATTTGTGTGGCGCAAATGTTACTTGCCACTTGCCAGCCCCAACCTGGATATTGTCCCAATGTCATTGGCATCATGTTATGATGTAATGAGAACCTGTCATTATACTACAAAGCACTGTATGTCTATAAATCATGTTTACTTTAGGATTAATTTGTACTTCTGAGGAAGTACAAAAAACGTTAACTCTGTTTTTATCTTCACTGATGCTGCCAGACATTCTGAGCTTTTCCAGCAACTTTGTTTTTGTTCTTAATTTGTACTTATTGTGCTTTATTTTCACTTCTAGGATCCTAATTTAAACCAAAATGCCTGGAACAACTTGGAGAAATACTGTAGGAGCCTGACCAAGTACAACAAAAATGTGTACGTCTGCACTGGACCCCTATACCTGCCAAGGTATGACCCATCTATCTGTCAGGTTAAGTAGGAACCATCACTGAAACTCAGCTTTAATTCATAAAATTTCAACAAAAATCTTCATATGGCTTAGAGGTGAAGCTGTTTCTTTGGTCTCCACAGGCTGGGTACGTCCCAGTGTCATTTCCTGGTTTACCCTGAGTTAGCTGATCACAGGCAGAGCAGCACATTGTCCAGGGAAAATTTTCTTTAAAAAGATGAGCCAAACCCATTGGAGCAAAGTCCACCAGCAGCCGTGATTTAGCCATTTACAGTGAGACACAGTTGCTTTCTTTTGCGACCATACCTCAAAAAGGTGACTCAACACCAACAGGAGGGGAAGGTAGTTAGAAAATGGGGCAGATTCTCAAAAACGGGGTGATAAGGCTAAGGAAGTCTTGCTCTAATTGTACAGGGCTATGGTGAGACCATATGGTGTACAGTTCAATCTCCATACTTCAGAAAGGATATACTGCTGTTGGAGGCAATGAGGACGCAACCCATTAGATTTGTCCCCGGGATGCATACATTTGAGGTGGAGATTAGTCTCAGGATAAGGAGTTGATCATTTTAACACTGAGATGAGGAGCAACTTCATCACTCAAAGAGAGGTGAATCTTTAGAATGCTGTACCTAACAGCAAGGTGGATGCTCCATCATTGAGTACATTTAAGGCTGGGATGGATTTTTGGTGTTTCAGGGAATCAAGGGATAAGGGGCACAGTTGGGAAACGAGTTGAGGCAGCAGGTCAGCCATAATTGTACTGAATTTGGAGCAGGCTCGAAGGGCTGAATGGCCTTTACCTGATCCTATATCTCATAATCTTATAAACATGATTTTTAAAAAAATTAATGCATGGATATGGACATCATTGGCTAGGCCAATATTTATTGCCTATCCCTAGTTGCCCAGTTGAGAGTCAACCATATTAGTATGGATCTGGAGTCACATGTGGGCCAGACTGAGTAAGGACAGCAGTTTCCTTTCCTAAAGGACATTAGTGAACCAGATGGGTTTTTCCGACCATCAACAATGGTTTCATGGTCATCATTAGACTCTTTATTCCGGATTTTTATTGAATTTAAATTCCATCATCTGCCATGGTGGGATTTGAACCCAGGTTCTCAGAACTTTACCTGAGTCTCTAGATTATTGTCAAGTGATAATACCACTACCATTTCCTCCCCCGGCTGTCCCGAGGTATGAGGGATGCTTTAAAAATGAAAGTTATTTTAACATTGGCATTTTGTTTTTTAAACAGGTTGGAACCGGACGGGAAGATTTACGTGAAGTATCAGGTCATTGGGAAGAATCACGTTGCAGTGCCAACACACATTTTCAAAGTGGTGATATTGGAGAAACACAGCGGAGAAATCGAATTGCAGTCATACGTGATGCCCAATCAGCCAGTGCAGGAGAACATCCCCCTCGAACGCTTCTTGGTGCCAATTGAAAGCATTGAGCGGGCTTCGGGGCTGCTCTTTGTCAGTAATATTCTAAAAAGAACCAATAATCTAAAGACCATAACTGCTGGCAGTAAATAGCAGCACATCAAGCTGTGACTTAGTTCCAAATTTTTCAGGGGGAGGGTGTAAACTATTGTTGCCCGCTGAGCAGCTCGAAATTGTTAGAAATGTTTTTTCTTAATTTCTTTGAATGTTTTTCAGCGTCAAATCTCCCCGTAGATGTATGATTTGATATATTACATTACCTATCCTAATTCACATTTATTATTGAATAATTGAATGCTTTTAAGTGCAGAGAGTGTTCCGTTGTATTATGGGAAGTGGACTATTATCAGAGTGTGTTAAGATTTTTCTTTTCATTGGTAGAAAAAGTATCTTCAAGCTATCTTGCTACAACTTCTACAGAACAGAAAGCTTTGATCTGTTTATTTTAAATTCACCCGTGAGTTGTGGGTGTCATTGGAGTAATACTGGCTTTGTTTTCCATCTCTCGTTAACAAGTTGGTGGGGGTTTATCTCTCTTGATTGCTGCAGTCCATGTGACGTAGCTGCTGCTTCCACAGTGCTTTCCTACAAAAGAGAGATCCAGAATTTTGATCATGGCTGTGGAAGGCGGAGCGTTTTATTTTCTCAGTTAGGGGTGATGTGTGATTGGAAATGTCTCCGTCTTTGAGTATGTGGAGGTTGAAGGTTTGGCAGATGCTGCTGAAAAAAGCCTTGGCAAGTTGATGTGCACTGTCAGCAGGTGGCTAATAGCAAAAGATTTCATGTGAAGAGCACACATCCTGCTAGTGCTGCCTTCCCAAGGTAATCGCCTGACCCTCCGATTCCAGTTTGAGATTTTTATTAGCTACAACTTAAATGAAATATGTTCCACAGGTTCTTGATTTGACAGTATCAGCATATCTTACTTATTGTTAGTGTCTCATTGCCTGGGTTTGCACTGTGAGTCAATTAACATCATCTGCACCTAATCAGTAAGAATGCAACTCCTGTGGAACACGGGCAGGACAACGGTTTACATCAGGTGTCCTGCTACAGTGCTACATTTGATGGATCCTACATGTGACAAATCCTCAAACTCACTTTCCAGTGGGATGGGTACATGACAATGTTTGCAACAAACTTCTAACTTTATATTGGTACAGTGTAAGCCAAATTGAATTTGACAACATTTCAAGACCATATATTTAAATAATGCACTTTCTATATGTTAATGGTTTAGCCATCACACTTAATCAGAATTGAAGCTTACCATAATGTATTAAAGACAAAATAGTGGGTAACACTCAGCAGATCTGGTAGCTTCTGCAGAGAGAGAAACAGTTAACATTTCAGGTCAGTAATCTTTCATCAGAACAATGATCAGGTGTCAAACAATAGAAGGATTGAGAGATCACAAAATATGGTTGAACAAGATTGATTTTGGAGGAGTTTAATGTAAACATGCAGAGATAGTAACAAAAGGGGACTTTGTAATCCATTAGTCACTGAGACTGTTTGTTGCTGGTCACATCTACTGAAGGTAAATACATTGAAATCTTGTTGAGAAAAATATTTTACCTTTTAAAAGCATTCTTAACATTGTTAATTGATGTGTAATACCCAGGATCATTACTGTTTATTTTAGTTTTTATAAAATAAAAATAAAGTTCAATCGTAGTCTATAGTTGTGAAGCTGGAAAAGCACAGCAGGTCAGACAGCATCCGAGGAGCAGGAAAGTCAACGTTTTGGGCCAAGACCCTTTGTCAGGACTGGAGAGGGGGAGGGGAGCCCAGAAGTAGATAGAGGGAGGAGGCTGGGTAGGGGGAAGGCTAGGTGGGATGGTGATAGGCGGATGCAGGTAGGGGGTTATTGTGATTGGTCCGTGGGACGGGTGGAATGGATAGCTGAGTAGGAAGATGGACACATTGGGTTGGGGGGGGTGCGGTGCTGGACATGGGAAGAGGCTGGGTGTGGAGGGATTTTGAAGCTGATGAAGTCAATATTCAGGCCCTTGGGCTGTAAGCTCCCAAGTTGAAATATCAGGCATTGTTCTTCCAGTTTACATTTGGCCTCAGTCTGACAGTGGAGGAGGCCAAGGATGGACATGTTATCAGGGGAGTAGGAGGGGGATTTCAAACTCATGGCAGCCAGAAGGTCGGGTAGGTTGATGTGTGCAGAGCACAGATGCTTCGCAAACTGGTCCCCAATTCTGTGTTTGGTCTCCCCGATATAGAGGCAATCATATGGTTCTGCCAGGGGATGTGGGTATTTACAGGGACATGCATATTTACTGGGACATGGGGATGTGGGTATTTACTGGGACATGGGTATTTAC